CAGGCTTAATTTAAGATGACTTCATGGACTTAGCCATGTAGTTTTCTTGGCAACAGTACAGAAATAACTTCTTGTTGCATTATTTTGTTTTTGTATTTAATTCTGGTCTGCTTTTTCCTGGTGGTCTCCTGTTTACATGTTAACCAGGCCTAATCCTGTTTACATTTTCAAGTTCAGTCAAGGTTGGCTAATTGCTGCCTAATTAACCAAAATAAATAAATAAATAAAAAGGTTAGTTGAGTCATTACAAAGTTTTGTTATGGAAATCACGTACGTTTTGAAAACATCAGGCACACTATATCCTACTGAAAGCAGTTTGTTTTACTGGAATGATCCTTGTGTATTTGGATTTCTTTCATTCTACTCCTTGTCTTTTTGGTTGCATTGGTTTTTGAGCAATTGAATTAAATTTTAAACAAAAAATGTAAAGTCTTTGTATTTGCTGTTTTATAGAATTCAAGGAAGCCTTTTCACTATTTGACAAGGATGGAGATGGCACAATAACAACAAAAGAATTGGGGACAGTGATGAGGTCACTTGGACAGAATCCAACAGAAGCAGAATTACAGGACATGATCAATGAAGTAGATGCTGATGGTAAGTTTTATTTAAAACAATTTAGTAATTAACATTATATACCTGGGTATAACTGAAACGAATTTTATTAATATATACATTATTTTCCAGGTAATGGCACAATTGACTTCCCAGAATTTTTGACAATGATGGCAAGAAAAATGAAGGATACAGACAGTGAGGAAGAAATTAGAGAAGCATTCCGTGTATTTGATAAGGTATTCTGTGTATTTTGATAAGCTTTCAAAGTACCATAAGTCTTAAATGAAGGGGAATTTCCACTTTCAATAAGAACAAAAGTCCATACTCATTGTCAGTGCCACTGAGTAATGATCTAGCAGTTAAACTTAATTCAGGGAATTAAATTTGACTTTAAATCCAAAAACCTATACTGCCTTCTTCACTTACGTGCAAGCAATCTGTTCTGTAAAATTTTGCAAGAATTGGTACTACCCATAATGGTGTATATTTTTTTCATCCCTGCCAACACAATTAAATGTATAACTGATCTCTAATGTCAGTTAAATAGTTCAGTCTGTAAATACAGTCTAAAAACAATACACTTCCCAAGTGTGTTTATATGAGTTCAAAATACACGGGACAATAATTAACTGGCTCATTTCTCAGTTATTCTGCACAATGCTAATTGTCATGTCCCCTCCTAATTTTTGAAATGTGGGTTCTATTATTTAAAAAAAACAACAATGTGGCTTCTAGTATGCTACTCTAAGATCAAATGCAACCTCAAGCCCAGAACTGTTGGGTACTCCTTCTCTTGGTAGAAGCAAGATACATCTGATTAATTGTTCAAATATGATTTCATAACAATTTGATAGTGTGACCTCCAAATGTTTTCCAGGATGGTAATGGTTATATTAGTGCTGCAGAACTTCGCCATGTGATGACAAATCTTGGAGAGAAGCTAACAGATGAAGAAGTTGATGAGATGATTAGAGAAGCAGATATTGATGGTGATGGTCAAGTAAACTATGAAGGTAAAAATTGTAAATAGTTTTTTTGTAACATAAATTGGCTTGAACCTGTTGATTAGGATACAAAAGATTGAAGTTTGCTTCTCTGTGTGTATTAGAATTTTCCAGGATTCTTCTCTTCATTATAATGAAATATAACTTGAAATGTTTTAAATATTGATCCTTGGGGAATGGTGGGAATTCAAAATAACCTCCCTGCTTCCTAGCCTTTTTCTTAAAGTTACAAAAGTAGGTGGATTGGTAATCTATGCAGACTGTTATCTACCACCCAACCTATAGAAGAGTTGGCCAAAGAAATGGTTTAAAAAAAAGATTAGCAAACACTAAAGCAGTAGTCAAGCACACTGGCCTGTATACGCAGCTACATAATTAAGGCCATCAAAGAAGCAATAAAATGGACTCTCTTTGAAAGGAATAAAAAGACGCTTTCCTTTCTCTTGGTTTGAGATTTCTTATTAATGGATGTGCATTTTTGCATTTGGCAGTCTGAAAGCTGAAAAACCCAGGAAGGCTCTTTGCCATGTGCACTTTCTCCTTTTGAGAGCTTGCATTGTAAAAAAAAGGGTAACACACGGGAATAACACCATTAGAATCCAACCCATAAGCTAACTTCTCTCATAACAAATGATTTCAAAATAGCAGTAAATTAGCTGCCAATCAGGTAACTGTCTTTTCCTTGTGCCTGGCTAATCAAACGTAAGATGTTAGTACTCTGATGCCCCCTAATGTGATCTCAGAGGATTGGAACAACTTTATTTTACCTTTAGAAGTGGTAAAGCCACATTGCTTCATGAAGCAGCTTTAAGGGATGCTATGCAACAATAATTGTTAAAGTAAAATATGTCTTTGTACCAAATATGTCTGCAAAGTGTCATTGTGAAGCCATAACTGGAACTAAAAATAGAAAAATGCTGTTTGTAGGCTTTTTTGGCTCTTAACTTGCTTAGAATTTGACAAAATTATTTTTTGTTGTGTAATAAGTGCAGCTTTAGATAGCTTCTAATTCATACCTGACAACATCAAAGTGATTATGTTCCAATTATGATGATAGCTTCCATAATGCTTGAGATAATAGAAGTTATTGTATTCCCATACTAGAAAAGTCAGTGCCTATCTGGCTAGAAATAACATTATAGCTTAAATCTGATCAAAAGTATCAGTTTTTACTTTATATGAGGCAGAAGATATACCAGTAGGGTTTGCAGTACATCAGCAAGGATTCTGACAGCCAGTTATTGAGCACTACTCTTAAAGAGGGTGGCTTCTTCCTCTACCTTACAGTTATGCTTGAACAGAGAAGCTTGATGTAAATAGTAGGTTTTATATTATGGGCCTGAGCTTTATTTAGGCCTTTACTCAAGCACAAGTTTTCTTTGCATAGCAGTTTTTGATGAATGGGTCCATCTAATAATGATACTTTGTGATATTTAGATTAAAACAGTAGTGTATAAAATGCAGTAACTTTTCATTATTTAGAACAGAAACCTTGTTAATTGAGTCTGGAAAAAATGTCTTAATGTGACATCTAAAAGATAAAGCGTTGAGCACCAGGAAACTTTGGACATAACAAGGCTTAGTATTTTAGTTAGGTACCTTAAGAAACAGAACTGAACCACATGTATTGATGAACAGTTGACTTGCTGCTTTTTGTATAAGTTCTTTATATGTGTATTAGAAAGAATTACTACTGACAATTAGAGGAATAAAAAAGTGAAGAGAAATGATTAATTAAAAATTAATAATTGTAAAATAATAACTATTACTAAAGTGAACCTGTTCTTGAAATCAGGTATCCATAAATGGTGAGAAGTACTGAACAAATATTGTAAAGACAATAGGATAGTAGTCTAAAAAAACTTGTCATGAATTTCTTAGCTAATATGGCAGATTGCCTGCTTTTTATCTGAACATGTTGCACAAATACTTGAATAAACATTACCATCTTTTTTTCTTCTACAGAATTTGTACAAATGATGACAGCAAAGTGAAGACACTGCACAGAACGTGTTAAATTTCTTGTACAAATTGTTTATTTGCCTTTTTCTCTGTTTGTAACTTATCTGTAAAAGGTTTTCCCCTTCTGTCGAGAGAGATGCATGTATAGTAACAAACTCATTCCTCCATGTTTTCCCCTTTATCTGTCATCCTGATATTTTGGGAAAATGATCAAAGTAACAAATGTTTGCATGTGGCTTACTCTGGATATTTAAGCCCTTCCACACTTCTAAAGCTAGGTGGTGTTGGTCAAATGAGGGATCATCTAGGTTATGCCTGTTGAAATTAGTTATTTTAGGAAATTTAGCATGTTGTTGAAATGTAGTCTTAACTCTGTGTGGACTATGGACAGTCAACAATATGGAACTTTAAAAAGTTTGCACTATTGCAAAACGGGTGTATTATCCAGGTACTCGTACACTATTTTTTGTACTCCTGGTCCTGTACCAGAAGACATTTTTCTTCTATAGTTACTATGCTTTTAAAAACTTTTGTTCAGCCACTTATTTTCAAAAGAATCTGCTTATGGCACAACTTGCCTCAAATCCATTCCAAGTTGTATATTTGTTTTCCAATAAAAAATAATTAACTCATATTGTCTAAATCTTTTTTGAATGTTTGCATATTGCTTTTTTATGTTTATAGTTATAAAATAAATCCTTATACCTTTTAGACTCTGCAAATGTAGGCTGTGTTTAGACACAACAAAAGTGGCAACTTAGGGTCCTCTAGGCCTCAACTTGGATAAGCCCTATTCTAGCATGGCATATAGCAAGGCATGGCAAGGGTTTAAAAGCAACAAAACATCTGGGAGACATGGGCTGTGCAGCAATGCAGATTTGAAGGTAATTTGGGGATGCATATTGCAACTCTTGGCATTCCCTTAAATGCATCAAATGTCAGCAAAAGGTACTGTTTCTTTAAGGAACTACAGGCAGGTACAGCATTAGCACCCTCGAATCACTTTTTCCCCTTCAAATCTAGCAAGCTGTACAGTCTTAAAACACGCAAATACAGATGATATCTAGTCTCATAGTCTAATACTGGAGTCTCTTGGTGTCATTAAACCAAGAATGTGTAAGTTTTCCTTTGACAATGAAGTAGGTAATCATTCAGAAATCCATACAAGCAAATTATGTACCCTTGGTCCATAGTTGGGTAATGAAGACAAAACTGATCTGGGCTATTCATTAAAGCTGCCCCCACTGATTGGAAGTTAATACATGGCATCACAATTGTGATAGTGATACTGCCTAGCAGCTAAAAGATGAAAGGAGTAAAGGGCATTTGTGTCCCCCTTTCTTTAAAAGGCTGACCAGCACATCCACTTCGATACAGAATGATGTAGACATGCCACAGGTCAGGAGCAGAGAGGCATAATGTTTCTCTCCTGCAAAACAAACCTTCACCACGATACGTAAAGACCAAGAAGTAAAAATGATTGGTGGCCGCTTCTTAAGACGAAAGGGTGAATTGGCTACAAATTCTCAGGAAAAGAGTGTGAGTGATGCATTTTGCTTCCACTAGGACTGTGTTCCACAGGAAATTTATAACTTTCTGGATCAATGGGCACATGGGATTTTTTCTAAATTTGTTACATGTCTCAGAAAATAGTTATGCTACCTATTGCTAAGTACAAAACTGGTATGCCAAAAGACTGGGTGACAATACTTTCCACCCCTATCCTCTGTATAAACTTTTTTAATGGGCAGGAAGGTAAATTAAAGTGTTAGGTTGAAGCTAGTATTTTTATTTTCTAAGAATGCCTTTGGAACTGTGTCAGGACCAGAGGTGATTCCATACAGTCCCACCGGCCAAAAAAGCTAAGGATATCTGTTGAAACAGAATTGTAAGAACAAGTGGGCACTTAAGCAGAACGTTTAGCCATGGAAAATGCAACCAATTAGGAAGCATCAAGTCACAGTATTACTTGCCAACCTTTCCCTACTACCCTGCTTAACTTTGCCCTTTTTCTAGCAACAGTGCACACCTTTGATTTACATGACATTTTTGTTGTCTTCAAAGAGGTTTTTAAAAGATGTAGGATGGAGCAGAAAGGATAGGAAATTGGTGAGCACTAACGGTGTTCAGCAGACATCAGAAGTCCCATGATAGAAACACTGGGGACCTTGGTTCTATTAGAAGAATAAAACTACTGTCACATTGCATACAAAAAAATTATCTACTTCCATGGATGGATCTTCATAGCCACTCAATTATTAAAGTATTCTAACCATTTTGATATTCGTGGTATGGTTCACATGAATCTATTATGGTGAATCAATGATTGCAGAACTGCAGTCCCCAATGCTATGCATCCACCAGAGCCCTATTTGCTTTTAAAAATAGATTCTATTACAGTAATTCCAAATAAGTGACAATTTGCCATTTATCTAAAGCACAGTACATCCTTCACTGCTGCTGTTTCCAATATCATCTCTGGTCCTGACGTTCCAAAGGCATTCTTAGAAAATAAAAATACTAGTTTCAATCTAACACTTTAATTTACCTTCCTGACCATTAAAAAAGTGTGCAGAGGATGGGGAATGGAAAGTATTGTCACCTGTCTTTTGGCATACCAGTGTTTTGTACTTGGCAATACGCAGCATGATAACTAAAAATGCAAAGCCCTTCATTCACTATAAGTTTATGGGATCACTCTCCCCTTAATCCATTTCAACAGACTTTGGATGTGGAAGAGGGGGGTTAATAGCAACAACTAACAAGTTATCCATGTAAATGCGAGGCTATTGTTATGGAAGGTGGATGCTAATATTAAATCAATAGAAGGGATAATTAAAATGTGATTGTTACAAAGTTTCTGACTTGAAATATATAACACTGTGCGTGCATGTGTGTGTGTGTGTGTGTGTGTAAAATGTGTGAGTCTACAGCCATGTTCTCACAACCCACTTTAACTAAATTAGTGGGGGGAGGTACCACGTGTGGGATACCAAAAATAGGTGAATTGGCCCAATCATTTAACTTCCCCTCCCCCTGGAAATTAAATGTAACCCCAACGGATCCAGTCACAAACAGGGTTAGGCTAACTCCATATATCTTGGGAACACCTAAACACAGGCAAAAATATGTCTACTCATAGAATCAAGAGTTGAAAAGAACTTAAAAGATCATCTAGTGAAATGCCTTAGGATCTCCTAAGGCATTTTGGATATATGGCTATCTAGCAGTTGCTGAACCATGTGTAAAGCAATCTGTTCCACTGATTGACAGCTATTACCATCAGGAAAGTCATCCTAATATCTAACCTGAATCTACTTCCCTGTTGTTTCAGCTCACTGGTTCTGGTCCTGACTGACTCTGTGGGGTGACAGAGTTGCCTCCTCTCCTTTTGACAGCCATCTGGATACCTGAAGACTGCTGTCATATCTCATCTGTCTTCTCTTCTTCAGGCTGAATATATCTAGTTCCTCTAACTGTTCCTCATAGGATTTGGTTCCAGTCCCCTCACTACCTTGGTAGTTCTCCTCTGAACTTTGCCCAGTTTGTGTTTTTTTCACTGTTGAGAATTGCGGTGCCAAGTACTGGAAACTATTCCAGTTGGAGCCTGACCAAGGCAGAGCCAAATGGGACAATTACATATGATGTGGACTCTGCTTACACTGTTGGTCCAGCTCAACTTGCTATCTACTATAGTACCTAGATTCTTTTTCCAAGTTTTCCTGCCATACCAGGTCTCTCCCATATATTTGTGCCTTTCATTTTTTTCCTTAGATGTAAAACTTCATATTTGTCCCTGTTAAATGTCATTCTATTCATTTTGGCCCATTGCTCAAGTCTATTTAGATCTTTTTGAATCTTTTCTTTTTTTCCCTAAAGTGTTAGCTGCTCCTTTGCTTTTGTGCCACCTTCCAGTTTGATAATCATCCCCTCAATCTCTTAATCCAGGTCATTAATAGAAGTGTTGAATAGCACAATTCCCAGGACTTTGTCTTGTGATGCTCCATTTGATACAACTTTTGAAGTGGTGTGGAACCATTTATGAGTATTCTTTGGGTGCAGTCATTCAGCCAATACAATTATATCATCTAATCCTCTTTTGGGGGAGCAGGTTAGAGTTAATCTTGATTCTTGGGTAGTACATGGGCAAGTCCATGTTTTCTTGTAAGGGTTTCAGAAATGATTTCCCATTGCCTTCTTAGAATTGAGAGAGACGGGGATTAGCCCAAATGCTTTTCAGAGGTCAAGATACTCTATATCCATAGTGTTTCCCCAGTAACTCTGTCAAAAAAGAGATAGTGTGACTTATTTGTGACAAGCCCAGGCTGGTGTGGGCATCTGTTAGCCCTGCAAGGTAATCCAGACAAGAAGCACAACCAGGGGTACTAGCTCTATCTAAGGTTACATTAACAGAAACTTGCAAGACTGAAAGTATTTCTCCCCTCCTTTCCTTTTATTCTCCAGAAAACTAGGGAGGGTCCCTTCTGAAATGTTTCCCATGCCATCCCCCCCACCCTTCTGTGAGTTGAGAAATCTTTTACATGCCGGTTGTCCCATCTGCCACTCTCCTTCCTGTCCCAAGGTCATTCCCACATACCATTACAACATCTGCAGGGAGGAGCAGAGGGAATGATGCCATGTGTGATTACATAATCACTCAAATGCTGGGATTTATATACATGTGTCAAATGTTCTGACACAAGCATGTAATTGGGGCATTTGCATGATTATGTAATGGCATGTTAAGTCTCAACTCATTCTGCGCTTTAGTTTCTGCCAACTTCTTCTTGTTTTCTTCTTTGGTTATACATTCCTGCTGTTTTCTATATATGTCCCTTTTTCTTTTCAGCATTTTGGAAACTCTGTGTTTATTCACACATGTCTTTAGATTTCTCCCATTTTTCTTTGTGATTATACCTTCAATGGCCCATTTTGCAGAATTTCCCATCCTTCCCAGTTTTCTCCTTCAGAATGTCAAGCCATTGGATGACTACCTTCTATCTGAGTTACTAAAATCCACTTTTCTGAAATCTAGTATGCAAGTTTGATTCTCCTCTATTCTCACTACTTTTGATAGCACAAACTCAAGGATAACAAGGACACTTTCTCTCATTTCTGATCACCTTCACTTCTTCAACTAATTTCTTCCTGTTGGTAAGGTTTAGGTATGGTATAGCAGACTTCCCTTGTTACTTCTTTGAGCTTCTAACAAATGATGTTGCCAAGGTAGGATAGCATTTGTGGGATCTCTGATTCTTGGCAAAGTTAGATATCCAGCAGATATCAGCTGAAATCTACCATTGTCATTATTATATGCCTTTTTAAAAAAAGTTTGATCACCAGACCAATTAGGGCCTCATCCTAATCTTTTATCTGTTTGTCTAGTTTATAACACTTTCCTCCATGGGAAAAAGTTGGAGAAAATAGTGCTTGAGAAACCAAGCTTCCCTATTATCAAAATCATTGCCAGTCCTGGCAGCACATACCATATCTCTAAAACACCAATTAGCTGCAGTTCCCAAAGATGGAGCCAACTGAGCTTTGTAAACACTTTGGCAACCACGAGAGGGCAGCAAAGAGATATAGAAAAACTCTTTGCTGCCATTTAGTGGTCATCTGAATTTTTGCAGCCCTAGCCCAAGCTTCACTTATTGCTGTTTCTGGCAAATGGGAAATGGCTAGGGGGGTCATAAAACCTCAATAGTCTCCTGAGCAAGGATCATGGAATAATAGACACTTTTTGAAGAAAGTTGGTGGGGCCTCCGTGTTCCCCAGATGGTGATTTTGATCTCCTTAGTGTGTCTACATGCTGCCAGAAGCACAGCTGAACAGATTTGAATGGGCTAGCCTCTGATTGGATCAAGCATGCTATTGCATCAGTGCCTATTTATCTACATATTTTAGTACCACTTCTGAAAACAGGACTTGCAAGCCAGCCAATTTACTACAAGAACAGAACAGAGTTCCTTAGGGCTAGACAGAACAGGGTTTAAACATGCTCAATTTGTCTCATTTTAGAAGGCCACTGGGGGAGGGATAGTTTTTCTGTCCTAATGAACAGGTATTTTTTTTGTCCAACTGTTCCTTCTGATTGACATCTTTTACAGGTTTATGAAGGAAAAAAAAAAGCAAAACCCTGCACAAACTCTTTTTAAGAGGCTTATAAACAAGGTATATTTATCAATTTGGAAGCAGAAACCAGTTTTTAAAACCCTCTCTCAGTTCTTTATCTGAAGCTACTCTTTGTTCCCAGATGCTTATATCTCCTTCTTCCGAATAAGAATGCTCAAATCCTTAGCACATGGATTGTGATGTCATAGACAACTATTGCTGATGCAATGCAATAATAAGCTAAAAAAAACTCAGAGGGAGAGCATGGTTGGCAGCATCTCAGGCAGTAGATCAAGCAAACGTTCTTCAGTAAATGCTCTACAGCTATCTTATCTCTGTTATATTTTCTCTTGTAAGATTAAATATTTTAAATGTATGGTAAAGCTAAACATTTCCTCAAGTTGGACTCCTGGTGACTTCCTGGAGACATCCTTGTAGTTTTCTTGGCAGCAATACAGAAGTGTTCTGCCAATTTCTTCTTCCAGGCAATTTTTCAAGTTCTCAATCTAGCCCTACAACCCTTGATTTCCTGGTTGATTCCCATTCAAGTTCTAATCAGATTGTCACCTTGCATAGATTTTTCAGAGATCAGCCATGTATGGCTAGGTGCTAAAGCTACTTCTATTCTAAATATGAAACCATTTTATTTTTATTTTTTTCTGCAGAAATATTAAGTTGCTCACTTTCACCTGAAGTCATTCTTTAACAATCCTGTTTTTTTTCTAGGTAGCAGAAAATGAAAATGTATCAGACCAAAGAAGAGAAACATGGTGGAGAGAATTATTACGGGTATGTATAATATTTATTTATTCTTAATGTTGTGCTCTCAAATTACAAACATAACTGTTTATTTATTTATTTGATTTGTATAGCCACCAAAACATTGCAAGTTATAGTACTATATTCCAATTTGGGAACTAGGGCAATTACGACAAGTGAATTTATTTAATAGTTTTGTATTCTCGTTTTTGAATGAGATAAAATTTGGGGATATCAGGTGATATCTTTTGAACAGCCTTCTCCAACCTGATGTCCTACAGTTCCCAAAACTAGCCATGATAGCCTGGAATTCTGATAATTGTAACCTAACATATCTGGAAGGCACGAGATTAAGGAAAGCCAATTGCGAATTATTCTTAGACAATTGCAGTCACATTCCCAGAGGTATCTAGTTCTGTGAGCACAGAATTTTGGACGAATTAGTCCTTGAGATGCTCTAGCGTGGCTCTTCTTCTATTCTATGTACTCCTATGAATCACTGAAAATAGAAGACTTGCTCTCACCGCCCCATCCCTTGCAGAACACTTTTCACTGAGATGTCTGTATTGCCCACACTAGGGATTGGGCAGTTCACAGCCTGTGGCCCAGCTTCAGCAAAGAATTAATGTGAGAATGAACTTTTTACTACGGATTTTTTAACTGAAGAAATCTCAAATCCACTCAATACAGTAAATTTCAATATATTCTTAAATATAGAAGCAATCTATTTACTTTCATGATGCAGAACATGGCAATAGACAGTAAACGAATCTGGGATATAGTTAGTAGTGAAGTCCATTTTGCACAAGCAATGGGACTGTCAGGACAGAACAGGACTTCGGGACAGACATCCGGGGCCTAAGACAGCCAAATGCCAAAGAGGCTGAGTTACAATAGTTTGAAGAAAATTATATAGCTACAGATATGAAGAATGCTTCTCTCCTCCAATAAGAACACTGCATTCTGAAGTTAGTTTACCAGACTAGCTTGGGTGAAGCATTCTCTTATGTATGAAAAGAGAAACTCTACAAAACTATTTAAAATAGAATTTTTCTGGGTTGTTTTTTTTTAAAAATGGACAAAAATGGAAAAATATGCAGGTACGGGACGTACAAGGACATGCAAAACTGACATAAATCAGCAACAGATTTTTCTATCACTGTATAAAGTAGTAAAACTGAAAAGATTAAAGCAGCAACCCCCCCCCCTCGGTTTCTGAAAATAACTGAATAAAACTGTTTTTCTTGTCATCTAAGCCATATACATGAATTGAGCCACAGATACTGTGGGATGTCTGAATACTTAACAATAACATTTAGATGCTGTATTTCTCTGTGTTAAGTCCTTGAATTTTTAAAGGAAATGCAATGAAATAAGAAGTGCTGGGTTATCTAAGTAAATTATCAGCCCATAAGTGAAATGTGTCTCCAACTAAACTGTCCTTTAGAAGAGTTGGACTCTATTTGCTATTATTCCCTGCAAGAGGACCATAGCTACACCGTAGGTGCTGTGAATTTCCCTGGGGTACCAAGATTGATCAGTCTAGGGCAGGGTTTCTCAGTCTCAGCTGAAATCCACATTTATCTCTTCAGATATGCAAAACATGTTATATATGCTTTCTTTCCTTCTACTAGCCAACCCCAATCCCAGGCTTTTACCCAGTTCGAGATTTTCTTGAAGATGCTCAGCTGAACCCAGTGAAAGCGACCTATAATTTTAAAAGTGAAGGGAGAAAGAGAGCGTCCATCTATGAACAACTGCCTGATTTGACCTTGCCAAATACTTTGTACAATCCTCCTTCATTTGTGGAAATGGCACAGAAAAAAAATGCTACTTATTCCTTTAAGAGTACCTCAAGGCAAAGCAACTATTCAGTCTTCAGAGATAAGGTAAAAGGAAGCCAGGAATGAGGATCTATAACAATTAATAATTGTTACTATAAGGAAAAAGGTACATAGGCAAAATACGGTTTTGGATGTCTCAGGGCCTACCAGTAATAATATCCTCCTGATTCTGTCTCATACCCCAATGGCAAATCATTCTGAGTGGGTTTAATGGCCATCAAATGGTGGGAAAGAATGAGGAGTGGGGAATGGAAAACCAGAGAGAGAGTTAGAAATGGAATGGAGAATCTTGGAAGAAGTTGTAGCCAGCACCTTAGAATTATTATAATAATAATAATAATAATAATAATAATAATAATAATAATAATAATAA